TTGAGAGAACCGCTGGGCGTAGAAACCCGGTAGAGGTGTCTAAAGAAAGGTCCTGGTCTGTAGATGAGCCATCAAAAGAGAAACGTGGAGAATTCCCTCGGGGCTCTGCCCCAGTGGCCTTTAAATTCCCATCCCATGTTATTCTTATGGAGGAAAACGAGGTTTTTGTCACAGCTAATTTGAGAACACGGCTGGGCGTAGAAACTTGGTATGGGTGTCTAAAGAAAGGTATTAGTCTGTAGGTGAGCCCTCAAAAGAGAAACGATGTAAATTTCCTTGGGGCTCTGCCCCAGAGGCCTTTAAAGTTCACTCTGCAATTTTGTTTACATTTCAACCATATGGATAATTTTACACTACTTTTAATGAACCAGCTGTTAATATTAAAATTGTATTCAAAGGTCTACTGAAACTGTCAAAATTAAATGTTTACATTACTATTTATGATTTTAAATGGATTCTCCACTGCATGGCAAGTTTTTTATAGCTTCAACAAAATGATGAATTTATGATACGTTTGAAATGTTTTGTTCAAAAATCAATGCTTTATTGCTCTTAGAAAATTTTAAATTATGAAATAAGTGTGACTTATAAATTTCAAAGGAACATATAACTATTCCTTATCGGGTTAGCTTATACATATTGTAAGGTTGGCACTTGCCTTTTTTTCCTACTTTCAATCACCATTTATTTTTAAATTCAAGAAAGAACGCCTGAGATTAATTTATTGGTATAACAGTTTTTGATAATCGGGTTGAAAATTGTATCATAGATAAGTACGATGAGGATGAGAGCTGTGATCAAGTTTTGGAATAGACTAACTACGGAGTCTATGGTTTTGATAAAGTAGATGAACTATGTCAATTTAGGTATTAAAAAAAATGTGTACACAGTTTTTACTTTGATGTACACATGTAGCTAGGTTGAACAACGCATCTAAACCTCACTACATACAAAACATTCGGAAACACAACAGTGTCATCACATCTCATCGCATTTGCATAATGTGTTACCAATGCTGGACTAGGTTACGGATTTGGTTCCGCAAATGTTCAAGATTTGTGATAAAATTTCTTACAATTATGGTTCATTCGTATCCACGAAATACATGCACAGCTTTATGTGATCTATATGGCCAAGGCAAAACTACCCCATAAGCTAATGAACTATCAAGTAAGAACAGGATAATTAAATACATAGGTCGATGTGGCAAGAGAAGGATTTAAAATTGCTGAGATCGAAGTAAGAATGTTACTGCTTTCTGGAGAATCAGATATTTTTATAAAAAAAAGTGATGAAGATTTACTTATAAATCCGGATACAATCTGAATGATTTTCCTAAAGCAGATTGAATTAATGGTCAGTAATAAATATTGACTCTTTCCGTAACATGATAGACTAATTATATGAACTCATTCTCCCATATAGTGAAAGTGGCTTTGGTATGAAACAAACTCATGAAGAAACAATTATAAGACTCCTAAAAAACCTTTTAGGCAACCTAAAGCCGATAAAAAGAAAGGTAGGAAATATTGTGTTAAACGAATTCATCAATCACGTTTTTTAGGGAACACAATCGTCATACTTATTATTGCTTATCGTCCCTTCATATAACTAAGATTTTAATGACTTCACTCTATCCAACGCAGTTAGCTGAATTTACATAAAACCTCAAGATTAACCGTCGATTTCGACGGGGTTCCACTAGTTCATAGGATTAATTCAAGTACAAGATGTAAATGAAAATACTTAAAATAATTCTTGTAAATAGGCGAGTGTGCTGTAATTAATCTTATAAAATGTACTGCATATTTTTTATCTGAAATATCATTTTCTGGTATTTGTGTGGGTATTTTAAAACTCATTTTAACCTTTGTCCTACCATTTTCACATTACTGTATAATTTTGTATCATGCATTTTATCATTTTCAATATCATTAAGTATATGGAGCCAAGGACACAAAAGTTTATTCATAGATAAAACATAGTCCCTTAGTAGATTTCCCATCCTTATGAAACAGCTGAACCCAATTTTATTGTTAGTTCTGTCCAGTTTTTTGGAGATGTCGTGTTTTGTTTAGAATTTGTTTCTATTATTTTATAGTTAGTTTCTCATTATTTGTTACTCTGTGTTTGGTTATATAGCTAATGGACGAGTTATTGTTTATGATTAGATAGTTTTATTTGGATAAACAAGGTTTTAAATTACTGAAATAACAAGAAACAAATTGTAAACAAAACACAACATCTACAGAAAACCGGACAGAACTAACAATAAAATTGGCTTCAGCTGTTCCATAAGGATGGTAAATCTTTATCATAGATAAAACATTGTGTTGGTTGGTCTATGGTTTTATCTATGGCTTAATGTTTGAGCCAATATGAATAAAAGGGAAGTAAGTATGAAGTGGTTTTCTTTAAGCAAATTTTTCCTATAGGGAAGATCATGTAATAGCTTCGAAGCTATTGATGTAAGATGGTAAGGTGGGACCTAGACCCGGGACGACTTACATTTAATTTTGATATCTTCAAAAGCCAAAAACACTATTCGTTAAAATTCATATATATTTATAATAAATATAACAATTTGGTACTTTAGTATAATGCGGAGGCCACCCTTATCCAGCGCTTATGTACGGCTATGTTAGGTTAGGTTATCAACTTATCATGAATATGTTTGTAGGGCATTTCTGGTTCCAGTACCAGACAAGGAGTGTACGACATATGCGTTCATTGATATAATTATTATTATTATTTATAATTGAAATAATGTACGTCTCTTCATATAGTCCTTAGTTTTATAGTGCACTTATGAGGTCCCTCTCAGGTGTGAACAAATCAGAATACTTTATTCTTGAACATAGAGTACAGAATAGGCGTCAAACATTACAGAGATTTAATTATAAAATAGCATAAAGTTGTTAGGCTTTGAGGCGCTGTCGGTAGTGATGGTTATTACTATAATAGTTGTTTAGTCCTCACTGGAACATCGGTGAAGTTCTCCAGTTCATGAACTCTTCAACAGTGTAGAATGGTCTCTCCACAAGCCAATACAAAGCCGATAAGCGTTGTCTGGTTCTGCTTATGCTGGGGCTTTTTATTGTCTCTGGGAGCAGGTTCAGGAACTTCGCTCCCATGTAGGAAGGCTTTTCTTCAAAAAGAGTTAGATGATGGACTGGAAGTGTGTAATTCATAGCCTGTAGGGTGTTATGGCTGTGCCTATCCGTACCTCGTTAGAGCTGTAGCCTGCTTGCGTGAGTAGCCACAGCTAGGATGTATTGGCTTGTAATCGTTAGGATTTTTAGCTCACGGAATTTCGGTCTGTGACTTTCTCTCTTGTCCATGTCTGCTAATATTCTTACTGCTTTTTTCTGGTGGATAAGCACACGTTGGAGGTTGGTTGCCGATGAGTTTCCCCATACTTCAAGGCCATATCGAAGATGTGATTCAAACAGTGAGTGGTAGGCAATCTTGGCTATGTTGGTGTCACTTATGGTTTTTATCCTTCTTATCACGTAGACACTGCTATTCAGCTTACTACACAGGCTGTCAATATGGGGGGTTCATGTTAGTTTCTGGTCTATTATTAAGCCTAAATACTTTGCTTCTTCTGGGCCTTCGATGTCTGGGATACTGCATACCCCACCATTTCTCCTGCCAAAGACCAGTTGTTGTGTTTTCTCTTCATTGACTACTAAGCTGTTGTTTTGGCAATATTGTATTGCCATGTTTATGGAAACAAACAAGCTGATTTCAAGGGCTTCAGGGTTTTTCCCAAGGAGGAGTACGGTATCAACTGCATACATGTGCATACAAATGTATGACTCTTGATACCTTCCTTAGTTTTGAATGATGTTCCACATATAGTGCACTTGTAAGGTCGCTCTTCATTGTGACTAATGTATGTTTCATCATATTATCCAAAGTTTTAAAGATTTTCCACATGTAGTGCAGTTATGTCGCTCTCCAGTGTGAATGAACGTATGACTCTTTATAATTACTTTTCTTTTGAAGGACTTTTCACATATAGTACACTTATGAGCACATAAAGTGCTCTTATGATGTTGCATCCTGGTGTGAACAAATTTATGACCTTTCACAATTTCCTTAGTTTTGGACGATGAAGTGAATTATGAAGTCGCTCTTCTGTGTGATATAATATATGTTGCTTTATATTTGCCTTAGTTTTGAAGGATTTTCCACTTGTCGTGCATTTATAATGTCGCTCTCCAGTGTGAACGAGTGTATGATTCTTCATAATTTACTTTCTTTTGAAGGACTTTCCACATATAGTTCACTTATGAGATAGCTCTCCGATGTGATGTAATGTATGACTCTTCATACAATTCTTAGTTTTGAAAGATTTTCCACACATAGTGCAATTATGAGGTCGATCTTCTGTGTGAACTTATGTATGTTGCTTTATATCTGCCTTAGTTTTGAAGGATTTTGCACATAAAGTGCACTTATGAGGACGCTCTTCTTTGTGAACAAATACATGTTGCTTCATATTGATTACAGTTTTGAAGGAATTTTTACATATAGTGCACTTATGTCGCGCTCCATTGTGAACGAGTGTACGATTCTTCATAATTCCCTTTCTTTTGAAGGACTTTCCACATATAGTACACTTATGAAGTAGCTCTCCGGTATGATGTAATGTATGACTCTTAGTTGATTCTTAGTTTTGAAAGATTTTCCACATATAGTGCAATTATGAGGTTGCTCTTCTGTGTTAACTTATGTATGTTGCTTTATATCTGCCTTAGTTTTTAAGGATTTTTCACATGTAGTGCAATTACGATTTTCACATGTAGTGCAATTACGATGTCGCTTTCATTATGCTCGTTCACTTCATATAGTCCTTAGTTTTGAATGTGTGAAACTAAGGTATGTTTTATCATACGTTTCTTAGTTTTGAAGGATTTTCCACATATATAGTACAATCATGAGGTCGCTCTTCTGTGAGACCTAATACATGGTGCTTCAAATTGTTGATGGTTTTGAAGGATTTTCCACATATAGTGCACTTATGATGTCGCTTTCTGGTGTGAACAAATTTATGACCTTTCATAATTTCCTTAGTTTCGAATGATGAACCACATGTAGTACACTCATGAGGTCGCTCTTCTGTGTGAACTAATGTAGGCCCTATGACTTTTCATATTGTTCTTAATTTTGAAGGATGTTCCCCATGTATTGCACTTTTGAACTCACTCTTTGTGTAAACTAATGTATGTTGCATCATATTGCATTTAGTTCTTAAGGATATTCCACATATAGTACATTATGAGGTCTCCCTCCGGTGTGTACTTATTTATACCGGTTAAAATAGCCATTAGTATTTTCCACATAAAGTACATTAATGAGGTCGCTCTTATGTGTGAACTAATGTAGGACTCGTCATATGTTTCATAATTTTGAAGGATGTTCCAAATGTAGTGCACTTGTGAGCTCGCTCTTTGTGTAAATTTATGTACATATTGCCCTCAGTTCTTAAGGATTTTCCACATACAATACGGTCGCTCACCGCTGTGTACTAATTTGTGCCTGTTTACATGGCCACTTGTTTGGAATTATTTTCCACATACAGTACACTAATGAGGTCGCTCTTCTGTATGAACTAATTTATGACTCATCATATGATTCTTAGTTTTAAAGGATTTTCCACATATAGTGCACTTATGAGGTCGCTCTTCTGTATGAACTAATGTATGACTCATCATATGATTCTTAGTTTTAAAGGATTTTCCACATATAGTACACTTATGAGGTCGCTCTTCTGTGTGAACTAATGTATGACTCTTCATATAGTCCTTAGTTTTGAAGGATTTTCCACATATAGTGCACTTATGAGGTCGCTCTTCTGTATGAACTAATGTATGTTTTCTCAAATAGTCCTTACTTATGAAGGATTTTCCACATATAGTGCACTTATGAGGTTGCTCTTCATTGTGAATTAATGTATGTTTCCTCATATTGTCCTTAGTTTTAAAGAATTTTCCACATGTAGTACACTTATGAAGTCGCTCTTCTGCGTGAAATAATGTATGTTGCTTTAAATTGGCCATACATTTTAAGGATTTTCCACATAAAGTGCACTTATGAGGTAGCTCTTCATTGTGAACTAATGTATGACTCTTCATACCTTGTTTAGTTTTGAAGAATGTTCCACAAATAGTACACTTAAGAGGGCGCTCTTCTGTGTGAACTAATGTATGACTCTTCATAAGATTCTTAGTTTTGAAGCATTTTCCACATGTAGTGCACTTGTGAGGTCGCTCTCTGGTGTGAACTAATGAATGACTCTTCATACCTTCTTTAGTTTTGAAGAATGTTCCACATATAGTACACTTATGAGGTCGCTCTTCTGTGTGAACTAATGTATGACTCTTCATACCTTCTTTAGTTTTGAAGAATGTTCCACATATAGTACACTTATGAGGTCGTTCTTCTGTGTGAACTAATGTATGACTCATCACATAGTCCTTAGTTTTGAAGGATTTTCCACATATAGTGCACTTATGAGGTCGCTCTTCTGTATGAACTAATGTATGTTTTCTCAAATAGTCCTTACTTATGAAGGATTTTCCACATAAAGTGCATTTATGAGGTCGCTCTTCTTTGTGAACTAATGTATGACTCTTCATTCCTTGTTTAGTTTTGAAAAATGTTCCACATATAGTACACTTAAGAGGTCGCTTTTCTGTGTGAACTAATGTATGTTGCTTCATGTTAGTAATCGTTTTGAAGGATTTTCCACATATAATGCACTTATAAGGTCGCTCTCCTGTGTGAACCAAGGTATGAATCTTCATATTATCCTTAGATTTGAAGGATTTTCCACACAAAGTGCACTTATAAGGACACTTCCCAGAATGTGTCAATAAATGACGCTTTATATGAGATATTTGAACAAATGTTTTCCCACAAGTCAAACATCTAAAGGGACGCTCGTTCGTGTGTAAATATATGTGACACTTCATTGCCAATAGAGTTGGTAAATTTTTTCTACATATTGGACACTCAGGCAAAGGCTTTTTAGTGATCTTTAACATGTTTTAGTTGTCAATTTCTGACTTTTAACTTTTTATAGACATGCTAGAAACTGATTGAAATCATTTGGTTGGCTTTGTACGTTTTTTTCTGTTTGATTTGTTTAATGTTTGACATTTACATGTGTCAATCAACTTTAAAACAACTCTTGATCAAATATTGTTATGTTATGTTATGTATTAAATGGCTTACAACATAGCCTACTCGAGACAATTTGATTTTTTTGCCTGACTTTTATGTTCCACTATAACATTTTAAGACTACTTTTTTAAAAGACAACGTTGCTTCTATGTTCCTTTTTTCAAATTATATTGCATCAGCCATATAAAACCATGTAGCCTATTCTTTATATTTAATTTTATGTAGTGGATCACTTACTTTCATTCCTACTATAAGTGTAGTAAAGACTTAATCTTTTTAGCTGCTCTTTAAAGTATTATATCAGATTATGTAAATTATCTTTCTTGCAAAATGAATTAAGGTTCCTTCTCCTCTTCAAATCTATTGCCTCTGCTGAAAAAGACCATATTTTATTAGTTAAATATATTTGTTGTGATCATTTAGGAAATTTTTATTTTACAATGATTTCAAAACATTACAAAAATGTATACGTAATGTACTATATCCAGATTATCATAATAATGCATGATATGAATCATAAATGCAATTTAAATTAATGTAATCAAAGTAAGTATAGGACCGGGTGTCCATAAAATAATCAAATTCTAAATCCTTTTTTGAACTTAAAGATGAATGATTGCTAATACAAATTTCATGGATTGAAAAAGAAACTTTACACATTTGGTTTGGAGAAGTAGTACCATGGCACACCATTTTATAAGAGCTCTGATGGCAAATAGACTTATTGCAATTGACAAATGTCCAGGCGTGAGGCCCATTGGAATAGGAGAATGTCTCAGACGCATTCTGGCCAAATGCATTATTTTAGCTTTTGGCGATGATGCAAAACAAGCATTAGGTACAGATTAACTTTGTGGAGGTCTCAAATCAGGTATAGAGGGAGGAATACATTTCATGCAAACGCAATATAGTGAACACAGTTATACCAACAAAGAATGGTGTATGATTCTGGTCGACGCAGATAACACTTTTAACAAAATAAACAGAATTCATGCTTTATGGCAAGCAAGAGTCCATTGGCCAAGAGCTGCTAGATTAATTTATAATACTTACCATTGTAGCTCAGATTTAATTTTGCAAGGAAGTAATCAAAGATTGTAAAGTCAAGGAGGAGTTACCCAAAGAGATCCACTATCAATGATATTATACGGTCTGGCAACACTTCCATTAATACAAGAACTAAAAAGAATGCCTAACACATCTCAAGTTTGGTATGCAGATGACATGGATGCTGGCTATCATGCTTGCCTCTGAAGAAACTTAATCTGGACATGTCCCCACAAGAATTTAGAGATGCCCTCTCTCTACGTTATGGGAAAACACAAATAAACCTCCCATTAAAATGTGAATGATGCGGAAATGAGTTCAATACAGAGCATGCTCTAAAATGTCAAAATGGTGGTCTGATAATAAAAAGACAAAATGAAGTAACAGACACAATAGGTAACATGATGGAACAAGCCTGGGGAAACTGCATTAACGAGCCCTTGATAGCAGAAGGCAGTCATCTCAACGAACCTGCACTAAAAGCTGATTTAGCTTGTAGAGGCGTGTGGGAGACTCAGATGGAGGCATTGTTTGATGTTCGTGACGTTGACACTGATAATCCATCTTATGTCTCCATCCCTCATCAAAAAGTAATAAAAAAAAGCGAAAGATGAAAAAAGAAAGTATACTAAAGCTTGCGAACAACGACATGCATCATTTACTCCTCTTGTCAAAAGTGTTCATAGAATTTTTGGGAATGAGTTTCAAATGTTTTAAAGGGTTATGGCTGAAAAACTATTAAAGAAATGGAAAAACCATACAGTTTGGTAATAAGCTGGATAAGATCAAGAATGATTTGTGCTGTTTTAAGGGCAACAAGTATGCGTTTGAGGCGAACAAGAAAGAAATGGTGGTCAGCGAGAGAATTTGAAGAAGGAGCTGGAATTCCAAATTTTTGTGTGTAAAAATTAATTGTCAATTTCTAATTTTACAGTTCTCTACTCTTTTAGTACAAATTATATTAAATAATAATAAAAAATAGTAAAAATTTAACAGTACTTTTGAAAGTAATCAACAATTAATTGTTTAGAGCAAATAAAAATAAAGCACATAATTATACTTGTTAACCTTTTTACACTAAAGTAAAAAGTTGCAGCTTCATCACTAAATACCAGATGAGTAGCAAAATGTTCATCTTCTAAGCAGTTTTGAAGTCAGGTGAGCAGCTCAACACGAAGGAGCATGTGACAAGGGACAGTGAGTTTAAATAAAAATGTGGTTTTCTAGCTTCCAACTTGTATTTACTTTAGGGATGGTCAAGTCTCAAAATTTCGGGAAATTTTAAATCTTGTTACACGAGACGAGATTTCTTTTTGGCCGAGATTTTTACCGAGACGAGAATAAAAAAAAATTTAAAAAAAAATTAAAAACGCCTGCAGAAAGTCAATGCAATACCCGCAATACAGGAGCGTGTTGTAGTTGCGTTTCCTTTGCGAAGGCGTTCTTATTTAATTAATTCTTTAAATGTAAATATTACTTTAATAACATTTGAGAAGTTTTGTTAAGTGTAAGCAGTGTGAGGAATGTTTTATTACTATAAGAAGTCAAAACAAGTAACTATTTTATAAAAATTAATATTGCTTTTATTTTATGATTTATTTTATTTTAGGATAAGTTGAACTCTATCCTAACTGATATCACTATGTTTCCTAATCGTAGGCATTTTTAATAAGTTAGGCGTGATTAATAAAAAAATGTTATGCTGATGTTTTTTAATAAAAGATTGTAAATATTCTTGCCTATTATCATTATTTTTGTATTTTAACAGTCATCTAACAATGTTACAAAATCAGGTAAAAATTTTGAACGTGCATTTCCCGTTGTGTATGAGAAGGGAAATCCCGTCTCGATCTCGTCTCGAAATTTTATGAGAAATAAAAAATCTTGTCTCGTCTCGTCTCGAACTAAAAATCCAATCTCGTCCATCCCTAATTTACTTTTTATTTATTTATATAACATCATCACATTACATCAATTCTCTTGACAAGTGATTTGTCACAAAGTCTAATACTACATTTTAAAATCTTAAAATAGCTTAGAAAAGAAATAAAACAAATCATTAGGCTAAAAACCTATGGTAGAAGTAATATCTTTCAAATATACACATCTTCTAGTTATTCTTCTAGTGAGTAAAACGTCCTCTCAAAAAAAAAAAAAAAATGTTTTAAGATAATTTAAATTTAGAGAATGAGGCAATGTTTTTAATCTCAGCAACCAATTGTGATTAAGAACATTGCTTTATTCTCAAAACTTAAGAACACATCTAATGTTAACATCTTCCAGATATTCTGTTAGTGAGTAAGATGGCCACTCAAAAAGAAATGTTTTAAGATAATTTAAATTTAGAGAACAAGGCAATGTTTTTAATCTCAGAGGGTAATTTTTTGAACATTTTTGGTCCTGTATACTGAGGGGATGAAAGATTTTAAGCCTTTGTTAAACTGGTTTTTATAATATTTTTGGATCTTGTGTTATGTGGATGAGATTGTTGACAGTCCATGAATGTGCCGAAATCACTTTTAAACATTAATGGCGGTTTGTAAACAGCTAAAAAATAATGCTTGATATAGGTTGCACTTTGATAGGTTTTTAACGTGTTTTTGCAAAATTAGTTGTGAATCGATATCAATTCCCAAATACTTTATTGTTTTTATGTAAATGAATTGAAGTTAAGTTTGTATTTAAAATGATTTCTAGGTTTTTGGGGACGTTTATATTTAAAAAGGTACTTAGGTAATCACTATTCCAGAATTTAAGGTGGATTTTCAGTAGTTTTTGGATTTTGTGAAAATGGGAATCTTGTTAATTTTTTTTTAATCGCGTGAAAATATTTGTATAATATTTTTGGTGGATTAGCAAAATCTTCATTAACTGCAACAATCCAACCAAGCCTATTCTAGTTTTTGTTGAATTGTAATGAAGCAACGTAGGGATGATAATGATTCATGATGTCCCTAAAACCATAAGATATATAATATGGGTATTACTGCACATCCGGGATACAATCACAACGTCACATTTTTGGAGATGATTAAGTTAGTACTGAGATTTTTGTTTACAGTCAGAGGTGCTTCTCATAAAAAATGCAGACGTTTAAAATAATAAAATATTTACCAAATTAGTAGTACCTAGGCTATGTACAATTTAGTTAGATTTTCATTTGATCGTAAAATACTAGCCTCTATACCCTTTAAGTAAAACCATAGATAAAACATAACTCCCTTAGTAGATTTCTCATCCTAGTGGAACAGCTGAAGACAATTTTATTGTTAGTTCTGTACGGTTTATGTAGAGGTCAAGTTTTGTTTACAATTTGTTCCCCGTTAATAAAGTCATTTAAAACCTCGTTTAACCAAATGATACGATCTGGCTATTTTTGCATGTTTTTTGTTTTTTTTTTTGCATGGTTTTGCTTCAGTTTTGTTTTGCATGGCTTTGTTTGTTTCCTTATTATTATATTGATCTAACTTGTATTTATTTGTGAATCAAGAGATGGACTAATTTATTATTTATTTGTATTGTAAGTGACTTAGCCTATTGCTTTGCTTAATGGCCTAATAAATCATTGAATCAAAATCAGTCGGGTAGAAAAGCCAACTTGGAAAAGAGAAACCAAATTTAACTACCATGAGAAATACATGGTGAGCAAATTTTGTTTACATATAAGCCGAGTGGGATTATAGATAAATATATGCCGATGCTTGATGGCAAAACTTTGCGTGCATACCTTCAATTTGAGACCTCAATAATGAAAATTGGTCGGGTAGAAAAGCCAAAAAAACTCGGAAAAGAGAAACCAAATTTAACTCCTATAAGAAATACATGGGGTGCAAGTTTCGATTACGTATATACCGAGTGGGATTATAGATACATTTATGCCGATCCTTGATGGCAAATCTGTACGTGCATACCTTCATCAGAGACCTTAATCATGAAAATCGGTCGAGTAGATGAGCCTAACAAACTCGGAAAAGAAAAACCAAATTTCACTCCCATAAGAAATACATGGGGCAAATTTCGTTTACGTATAGGCCGAGTGGGATTATAGATACATTTATGCCGATGCTTGATGGCAAATCTGTACGTGAATACCTTCAATTCGAGACCTCAATCTTGAAAATTGGTCGGATAGAAGAGCTAAACAAGAAAACCAATTTTTTTATATATATAAGATTCAACTGGTTGGTCTCTCAAGCATAAACATACCTGTTTGCTGAGACTTATTTAGACTTTTCTGTTCTCTTATGAAGCCTGCTCGAACACAGACTTGTTTCAAACCACCAATACCAATGTGAGAGTTTCCACTCTGGGTGTAATAATAAAAA